TTCTTTCCAAATTTTATAGGATATATTCATGGTTCCGTCTGAAATAATTTTCCAGAATGTTCCCAGGACATTTTCAGACCCTACAGACACAAGTTATCACGTCATACACTAATATATTTCCCTGTTACCCTCAGTCTCGTACTATCGACACTTCAACTTACGGTCACTAGTTTCACCTCTAGATACTAAGTCCTTAACAGTGAGCTAGTGAAAAAGTGGACAAATGGAAATGCAATTTTGATTGGCTGGTAGGTGGTCACATGGGGTGTTTCCCAAGTTGGAAGAAGAGAGGCACAGGGCCTTAATATTGCCCAAAAGATAAGGTGACGACAGACATGCACACCCATAACTTTTGACCCTGCGTACTTGCTCACAAGAGGGAGAATAAAGACTATTCAAGGATAACTATTTCCAGGACATATGGCATTTCTCATTTTCCATGTTTTCTATGACTGGGGAATTGATCAACAATTTTCCAGGTTTTCCAGGATGTGTGGGAACATCGATATTGTTTTTCTAGGGGGATAAATGTGCCATTTTTCTGCTAACAAATACTTGCACTCAGAACCTATTTTTATCATTTTAGTCATATATTTCACTTTCATCTCACTGTGACCCAATATATTAAAACAATTCAATAACAAATAACAAATAACAGACTTACTCAGCACCAAATGTCAGACCATATTAGCAATGTGAATATTCTTAATATCTAACGCAGGGGTCACCAACGTGGTGCCCGGGGTCACCTGGTAGTCCCCATAGACTATCTAAGGTGCCCTCAGGCTATGTTCTTGAAATAAAACTAGTCAACAAGAGGGTCAGAAATTGTACTGTTCCTGTGCTTTTGGAATCAGTTACACTTGAAATGATATTCTAATGGGTGCAATGACGATGGTAAGAAGAGTGTATACTATTGTATGTCCCAGAACTAATTATTATTACATTGTCTGTGAAGTCTGTATCAAAGTACAGTAGCTCTCTGTATTACTTTGTGTCCTTGAAGTGGCTCTCAGTTTCAAAAAAGTTGGTGACCCCTGATCTAAGGTTTACATAATTGTCTTGGTGTAGCAACATATTGTAAAATATTGTCAAATGTCAAGCAACAGCCTTCTATTCCATCACATAACTCAGTAAACAGCTATTGAATTTTTTTTTAATACAGACAGAGAAAAACTTCGGAACTGCCAAAAAACACACGCAGCTGCGGTTTCAGTACAACAGGGCAGAGATTCTCAACTGCAAAGAGCACAAACATCAGCAAACGGCGAAAAAGTCTCAAGGGACACGAATTAATATTTGATGAGAAAAACTGAATGAATACTGTTTCACACAGTGTCCTTTGTTAATGTTTAATGGCGATCCAGATGCCGCTGCTGCGCTTATGTGAGAGACAATGTGATGCTTCATGGCTGTGATATGTAGAAGATGCACATACATGGACATTTTACGGGCAAGTGGTCACAAACACAACTCAGGGCAACAGCTGGAACCAGAAGCTGAGCTGTACCTACAAACGTCACCGGGACAGGAAGGAACTGAGGATAAGAAGGTTAACAAGTTCAAACATGGGATTTTACAATGAGTTGAATATAACATGCCATCTTGGATGAATTTAAAATGCATCACCCCTGAGCAGGAACAACACCAACCAGATGGTATGCAACTGCTGGAAAATAAGGATGCTGTGTACGTCAATGTTCCAGGATGTTATCTTGACAAAGTGTTGTAAGGCACTTCATGAGAGAACAAATTGTTCCTTAATTACCGAAAAATCCAATGTAAAGATTGCCCTTCCAGAAACACAACTAGCTGTTTCCCAGTTTTGTTTAATTCACCACAGCTAATAGATAAATGCTTCAGTTTCAATGTCCAGAAAAAACGCAAGAGAAAAGACGTTTGCTGCTGAAGTTAGTTCTGGCTGTTACTTCTCAACAAAAAAAACTTAAATAGTGTGGTTTTGTAGTTGTCCAACACTTGTGGAGTGAAAATTCTCTCTGTAGGACTACTACAACAGATGCCATTCAGAACAAGTGCAGCTGCTTTAACATATAAGAATATTTTCTCTGCTCGCCTACAACCTAATTGCGTCTCATGTAGGTCGCAATTAATGCACTCTACTCTCCTTCTCCGGCACTGTGCACTCTTCACGGAGGTTCTCCACATCTATCGTGGCTTGTATAATCTCTTGAGCGCGCTGCTTTATTCCCTCATCCAAGTAATGATCTTTATAATGCGGATCAAGTACAGTCCCGATGATACGCAGAGAATCTGAATAGATCTCACCTGTTGGCCAGGGTTTTTGCTTGCGTCATCACAATATCCTGTTTCACCCACTCTGTTTTGTCCTTAAAAGTCCTTCGGCCGAAAACTGAAAATTCTCAGTGGCTAATTATTACTATCCTCTTTCACTGTGAGGCATAGAAAGACATTTAGAGTGGATGGCACTTTAACCTGCCTTCGATCTCCTTGCTCCAGGTGAAGTTGTTGTTTCACCACTGATCTAAATTGGCGTCTTAACCTTAGTTAATTCAACGTGCTCTGCACATGTATTAAAATATTTGTGCCCAAGCTGAGAGACCGAGAAGGTAGGATATCATGTCTTTGGTCTCTCTGGTGAGAACTCCTACTTGACTGCCTGTCTACCTTTTGGGCATTTAGATCTGCCTCCATTATTCATCACCCTAATAGTGGAGAACAAGGGAGCACTGGTGTATGTGCGTCTGTGTGTATTGGAGAGAGAGAAGTAACACTGAGTTGTGACAGGTAGATAAAGCCTAGATGAATAATTCAAATTGTCGTGAGCTCCCCGAGTCAGTAACAAGACAAGCAGGGGAAAAAAAAAAAAAAAAAAACTAGATGTGAATAAATGATCAGAGAAGGGACTAATAGTCTGAGCACACAAGAGGACAAGACTGATAACATCTCCGGCTGTATCTTTAATCATTCCAACAACCTTGTACATGAATACATTCCAGACCTTTCCAACCATACTAATATGTTAGAATAAACCTGAGTGGGGTCCGGCATGCTGCGGTGATAGTGTCCTTTGTTTTTGTTTGCAAAGTTAAGTTGAGCATTTGGGCTTAGGTATTAGATCGGATGGGCTATGGTTGTATTATTTAATGTCCGCTCTTACATTTTGACCAACATCAGACCAATACAAATTATATCGAGTATCGATTGAGCCATCCCTAATTTTTCATTTTTTGTTATTTACCTCTTATGTATCACAAAACATTCACACATTTAGGAGTTATAGCAAATACCCTGTTTATTACTATTCAGAGCTTTTCTAAGGTAACACAATGCTAATGATGTTACACATTTTACTGCATTAGTACACTACATAAAAGTTATTATTTGAACAGCTTTCTCCAAAACAGGCTGCGCACTGTGTTTTCTTGCTACAGTTCAGTGTTTAATTGCCCTCATGTAGTCAATATAAAGAGTTCAACAGTGCCAGCATCGGCACGTATTCGTTATGTTACAATAAAAGCGACCTTTTTTTCAACAACCTTTTTGAAACTAAGAGCTACTTCAAGGTCACTTAGTAATACAAAGAGCCACTTGTTTGATACAGACTTCCCGAACAATGTAATAATTAGAAGTTCTGGGACATACAATAGTAGACACTCATTACAGGTGTAACTGATTCAAAAAAGTACTGTACAATTTTTGACCTTCTTGTTGAATAGTTTTCTTTACAGTACAATTTTTGACCCTCTTGTTGAATAGTTTTCTTTTCAGAACATACCCCATGGGCACCTTAAGTAGTCCACAGGGGCTACCACTTTGGTGGTTTACCTGCCCAGTAAATAGTTGGTCATTTCTGAGGAAGAGGAAGAACGATTACTTTCCGTTTGGATTTAAAGTCTCCTGTTGAGGAAAATTCTATGAACTGCCCAGTAAATAGTTGGTCATTTCTGTATGAAAGGAAGAACGATTACTTTCCGTTTCCGTTGGATTTAAAGTTTCCTGTTGAGGAAAATTCTATGAGAGTGACTGCAAGTATTTTTCGGCTTGCTGTACTCACTGTAGTTTGGGTTAAGCTCACATCTACATACGCTTCGCTTAACTAACGACAAAGCCAAATATATACCTTCCAGTTCGTTGTATATTTACTGGAACCCAACCTAAAGCAGTATTGATGACTCCATATCGCCAAGTACACACATACCACACAGTACTCATACTGGTATTGGTTTTTAAAGAAAACAAAAATAGTATAATACTGAAAAAGGTATTGTTTTGTTGTGCAATATACTGAGCAAAACAAGAAAAAACACATGTGACATGGTTCATGTTTGTTGAAAAGAAAAAAAAAAGAAAGAAAAGAAAAGCCCCTCAGTCGTGTTTGTGAGTCAACTCCACTCAAGTGAGCTTCTGTAGGTGTAAGTGTTGAAGATGTCTCTTCTGTGAAACCTGCTTTAGAACTGCTCAGTGATAACCGAAGGTGATGTAACAAGGACCTGTGGGCTGCAACTACCAGTACAGGTATTTACTACTGTAAGTACTCTCAACAGCAGAGCAGCAGACAAAGGGTACTATTAGTACAGCTGGACGTCTTGGAGTCGCACGACACTATAAAAAAAATCTCTGATGCACTGAGTGGTTCCGTAACACGGAGCTGATATTTCTTCATCGCCACCGTGTCTTTGTGCCTCAGGTAGTGTTTGTCACAAGTAAAGACAAACACATGTGACAGTGCAGCAACCCCAGTTTAAAGGCGTCATTCACAACTTAACAACTTCTCTTTTCTTCAGTTTTATATTTTCACCTCATTTTCATGTCAAGGTGTTTTTTAGCTTAAATCATTTGCAAATGAAATCTAGAGGAAGGTGAACCCGCTGATCTAAATACGATTGATCATAATGTGAAATACATGCAGCATTGATGCAGATTTGATAACAGCTGTAAATGGTTCTTTCCCAGCACCTCTAAATATCTGTGGTTAATGTTTTGATCAAATACATACGACAAGATCATTAGTGTCTTACCTGTTCTTTGTGAACCAAAAGTCAGAGCAACTCTGCTCAGCAGATCAGGTTTGGCATATTGGTTCTCATCAGCCTGCACCCAGAAACAGCTCTCTGACATTTCCTGTGGACGGATCTGCAAACACACACAAGGATAATGAATATATGCAACACGAACCCAAAGCAAAGAACGTGACAAAAGTGAACAGGGAATAGACATAAAATACACAATCTTTGAGAATTTTAAAAAAGACAAACTGGTCTGACAAACAGGGAGAAATATAAATGATCTCCTGTTACACCATTTACAATAAGGTTTATGTACAAACCATCTGACAGACACCACCTGACATATACAGCATGTTAACAGAGACAATGCAGCAAGAGTTTCGTTGGTGAAGTCTCCA